AAAAAGTAGACAGGATGCTTATATTGGATCAGATGTGGGCATGACAGCAAAAGATCAGACACGGAAGATACTCAGCTTTCTGCCTTTGGCAACCAGGAATGAGAGAGAACACAGGGGAGAGATGGTTAGGGGCTGAAGATGGTACGTTTCCTGAATCTAACAGCGGTGGTCTCCTCCACACTACCACAAAAGCCATGGCGGCCAGGCATCCTTAGCAGGGCATGTCGGGCTCTTTAAGGATCTAACCTGCCGTTTACATCCTTGTCTCTTGTCGCTAAGCCTCTCACATTTTACACTATAGAAAAAACAAAACCTGCAGTCCAAAGATTAAGCTCTTTCATGTCTGAGCGGCCTGACCTATGCTGGCCAAGAATGCCACTCCCTCCCCCTTGTGCGCTTGAGAAACACTCATTCACAGCTCATCTGGGATAGCTCATGATCCAAAAAGGCATTCGTTCCAGAGTCCCACCCATGCTCAGGAACCTCCGTCCTCTGGGCACGCTGGTTACTGTGAACGTGTTACACTGATGAGAAACACTGTAACTGAATGTCCTGGCTTCCAGTCCAGTCACATTATCAGACCTGCTTGACAGCCATGTGTCTCCACATCTGAAGCCATTTATTAGTCTGCGGGATAATCCTCTCCTAACTGTCAGGCCTTGTGCTAGATTTGTAAACACAAAAATCCAGGCTATCTACCTGCCCTAAACACGAACAGGCCACTGGGAACCACCCCCACCTCCACCTGTGGCCTCGCACACCCACAGATGACATCACAGAAGTATGAGTACCTGGCAGGCACAAGGCTCTTACATATTTGCTCAGTGAACAAATAAATGCCTAGTGGTCATAAAAGAACAGTGGGAGTTCTAGATATTAAAAACCAACAATCATCTATGTCTCGCTGCACAAGCCATTGAAAGTTAAAAACACAAGCTTTAATTCAAGTTAAAAAAAAAAAAAGGCCCAGTTATATAATTCATTACTACTTTGAAAAACATTTTGAAAAGCATAATAACTTATCACTTGAGCAATGACAAAGCACCAGCCTAATAAATTTCTAATTGTGGTGATATATCTTAAGTCCTACTATCAAATCAAGCATGAACAACCAACCCAGACAGTTTTATGAAGTAAATCTAAGTCATGAATATTAATGCGTATTAAAAAATTTAACCACAACTTTATTAGTAAGCTATGAAAAGATACAGTGATCCCTGTAAAATATTTTCTACTCTTCATACTGGTTAATAAATATTTGATGGTGATAAGATCTTCAAATCTCTTGGTTTTTTTGTGTTTTGTTTTTTTTCCCCTCAATCTTTTTTTTCTGGTAGCCTTTTCTTCCTCTTCCACTACAAATAACTCCTGTTACTTTAAATACTATTTAAGGAATGCATCATTACTAACTATCTATTAATTCATTTATTGAGAAGGTACAAATATCAAGCATAATCAAGAACAATGGGCCATTGTTTGTTAGGGGCAGGCAGACTCAAACAGATGGGCATAATTATACAATATGATATAGGAACTGTGATAAATTGACACCACTGAAGAAGAGAGTACCTGATTCCTTGGAACTAAACATAATATTTTGTAAAAATGGGCAGGACCTCAAACAGGGCAGCCTCAAATCTACTGCCAGGCACTACAGAAGGATAGTCCAGAAAAAAAAAAAAGAAAAAAAAAGGAGAAAAAAGGGCAGGGCTCTATCTACAGCAGCTCCAAACAAGGGAGAAATAGACACCAGTAACTCTGATTCAGAAGCAGATTGTGGAGCGAGCTATAAAAAGAGCTCCACACAGCGTGCTCCGGAGGCTGGAGAGGAATATGCGGGGAGGATTCTGGGCAGCAGGCGAGGAGGCAGGGTTAGAAGCAGGTTTTCCAGGCAAAGCAGGGCTTTGACAGGGGATGTTAACGTGACACAAGGCACATGAATTGTTCTTGTCATACTCAAAATTACAGCCCTTCCCACACCTCAGAGGCTTGGAAAGGAAGTGCAGTGCCTACGTGAAAAGAACAGATTTAGCTACCCATCTATGGTATGTGTGCTGATGGGCAGGTAGGGAGGAAGGCATATGAATAAGCAGAGACCGCATCCCTCGGCCAGAGATCCTGGGGAGTGCAGATTTAAGTCCTGCTCACCACAATAGCTTTGGAAGGGGGAGGATGGGCCAGAGGACATAATTAAGCCTGCTCTGGAGATCCCGCCTGCCTCGCTGTAACACTATCACACAGGCGCTTTGACACGATTATTTCTTCTCTTCCTCCTGGTGTCCTTTTGACAAAAGCTACGTTTGCTCCAGAGCTTCCCAACCTGGTTCCCCCTTAAAAAGTTCTTTCAATCCCTCAGTGGGTAGAGGGTGGGCCTATGAACTGAAGAGTCCCAGGTTCAATTCCGATCAAGGGCACATGCCTGGGCTGTGGGCTCGATCCCCAGTGGGGAGCATGCAGGAGGCAGGCAATGCAAGATTCTCTCTCATTGATGTTTCGGTCTCTCTCTCCCTCTCCCTTACTCTTTCTGAAATCAATAAAAATATATTAAATAATAAAAAATAAATTCTTTCAAAGACATTACTAATGAACGACATATTCTCTTCATCTAATTCTAGGAGCTGCCAAACTCAGAGTATTTACCAAGCACACGGTCACTGTCAGTATCCTGTTCAGTAGATGTCACTCTGGAGGAGCCTTGTTTTCAGAGATGAACAGCAGAGCACAAACGTGGTTCCAGTCTGAGGGAGACCAGCTGATAAGAGTCGTGGCAACTGCAGGGAACACCCACTGCGAAGGGTGGGAGGCCACGCTGCCCAAACTGTTCTCATCTTGGATCCAGAACCACGTGCTGACTTCTTGTCTGTCACTGCCTTTCACTGCTCTTTGGTGTCCAAATTGTCTGACTGTGTAAAAACTCCCAAGTGTATCACATTTTTCAAAACTTGTTTTTTTCCAGGTTTCCTGAGATATAACTGAATGCGGCGCTCACTACAGGTTAACGTGTCTGGCATAACGATTTGACTTTGTGAAAGCTCACCATAGCAAGGGATCACCCATCCTCTCACACCGAATGCATCACATTCTGAGACTTCTCTCAGGAACTAAGTTGGGGCGCATGACCCTGTGCCTCAAGCTCTAACTAAAAGACACCCCGACTCTCAGGTCATGCAAAGGCCAAGGTTTCCTAGAAGTAGCTGTCAGCCTTCCCTGTGGCTGTTTCCCTAACCTTCCGAGCTTCACTTTAGGTGCACCTGGACATACCCATAGTGCTCAATTACATTCTGAGTGCAGTTATTAAACTGCTACACATCCCAAAAAGCATGCTCTCCTTTGTGGCTTAGCATATACTTCTCACTTGAGTTTGGTGCCTGCAGGCCAGAAGGGTTAGACTTGGCTGCCACCTTTCCACAGGAAAACTGTGCAAGTACTCACTCATCCCCACACCACACTGACCTGAGCCCTCAGAGTTGGAGTTAAAATGTGTTTCCACTAGAAACTCTGGGCTGATAAAACACCTGAGCCCTGGGGAAACTAAGGAATTGAGCAAGCAGTGACTCTTGTCATTTTGCCTGGAAGGACTACAGACTTCTCAATTTGTCTCCTATTTGGATGCCATTCTGATGTCTCCAAAGGATTCTCTTTACAAAAATGCCCCCTTTCCTTTCAAAGGCAACTTATTTCCTAATAGCCTGCATTCATTCATTCATTCATTCATTCATTCATTGTTAATCCTCATCAAGGACATTTTCTTCCATTAATGTTTCAGAGAGAATGAAAGGGAGGAGAAAAGGCAGAGAGAGAGAAACATCAATGCTAGATAGACACATCCATTGGTTTGCCTCACATACAGGGTCAAGAATCCTAGAGCCAGCAATCAAGGTATATGCCCTTGACTGAATTCGAACCCATGACCCTTCAGTCTGCAGGCCAACACTCAACCACTCAGCAAAACCAGCTAGGGCTCTAATAGCCTGCTTTTAAAGATGCCCTCCAATACCTTAGCTAATAATTTTCAGACCAATTTGACACCTTCATCATTGTACTCTTATTATTCATCAAGTAAACGGGCCAATTTCAACTCTGACCTATTTTCAGTCAATGTTTGGAATGAGAACAGGGTAAGGTAAGTGAATGTGAAGGTATAAAGGACTGTTCGACTGCCCTGAAGGAAAAATACTTCATTATTTAGGATGTTCTGTATATAACATATAACCCTCTCTTTCCAGTTCTCCTACTACTTACATATTGGGTAGGTCATCACTTTATAGCAGTGAAAAATCAACAAACCAGCAAGCCTAGAGGGAAAAATATTATCTCCCAGTCTGGCTTATAGAGCTAGTTAGAGTAAGAGAGTGAAGCTAATGAGGATGACAAAAATACTAGCATTTATGGAGCTTTTCTGTTCCAAGCAATACTGTGTTTTATTTGTACCAATTTAATCCTCACAAACACTGATAATTCCCATTTCCATTTTACAGATAAGTTAACTGAAGTAGGGAGCCATTAATAACTTGCCCTAACTTACACAGTTAATAAATGTTAGATCTGGGATTTGAACCTGGCAATTGGCTTCCAGAGCTTATGATCTCAATATTATGCTGTTCTGCCTCTCCCAAAGCTTAGCACTCATTTTAGAGCAGGGCTTCTATTCTTTTGCCATAAATTGGCTTGGTTGGGGGAGGAAGGGAGAAGGTTCATTCCCTGAAATGATATCAAAATAGGTAGATAAGGCAGAGTAATTTTTGAGGACACAATCCACAACTTTCATCAAAATCACAAAGGGATCTGTGGTGCCCTCCAAAAATTCAGAAGACCTTATAGACTCAATAACCCCTACTATTTTAATAGATGCTTATTTATTGGGTACCTATAATGAAACAACATGGTTAAGGAACTGGTTAATATGTTCCACAATCAATCCCCTGGTAAACAGAGGGCCTACAATGAATTCCATTTAATACACAAATTATATTCCAAGAGCTTTTTTTTTTTTCCTTCCCAAACTGGGAACATATTTTAGTCAACAGATAAGATACAATAACTGACAGATGTGTTTACAAGGTAGCCCATGAAAGTAAACTCATTCATCCGGGACCGGTTTGGCTCAGTGGTAGAACGTCAGTCTGCAGACTGAAAAGTCCCGGGTTCGATTCCGGTCAAGGGCATGTACCTTGGTTTTGGGCACATCCCCAGTAGGGGGTCTGCAAGAGGCAGCTGATCGATGATTCTCTCTCATCGATGTTTCTATTATCCCTCTCTCCCTCTCTGTGAAAAATCAATAAAACATATTAAAAAAAAAAAGTAAACTTATTCACAATGTGACTGCAGTCAAGTGGTAACAGAACTAGAGAACACAGCTGCCTACCTCTCTCTCCAAGTTCACCTGGTCCCTGCAATGCTACTTTCCCTGCCACCCTTTGTTTTGTGTTTGTATGTGGGGAGTTTTTTGTACTCTGGTCTGTTTCTTATCCCCTGCACACAGAGTCCATTACATTGGTCATGCTGCCATCAACATTTTGCTGGATAACTAAATTCAATGTATTCTAGAAAGATACAATGTCTTACAGAAAAATTTCCATGGCTGGGTGCTATCCCTTGGTGCTGCCATGGTTACTGATGTGTGTATCCTCCAAGCTTACAACCACTGGTTTGAAATCCTGGGCACATGTGTGTGTTTCACTCACTGGATTGTGCAGCCAGAGTGGGTGACCTCACTTTAAGCTTCTTGGAACCTAGTGCTTTCTACAGAAGATGCTCCATTGCACTCGACTTGAAATGAATGGAAACCAACCAGCATGGGTAGCAAATGGCTCTAGAGGTAAATGCTCCAGAAGTGCAGGTGGGGATGCTAGGAACACACTGCTGTCTGAAGCCTAGCTCACCTCCTGGCACACGGTGGGTATTCGGAAATAGGCATGAATCGACTGAAGCAGAAACATGTACCTCTCTATTTTCAAGTTATCATTGGCAACGCCAATCACCTGGTCTAAGACCTCAGAAGACTAGAGTGGAAAAGTTGGCACCTTTTGCTAGTTGAGTTCATGACACCTCTTTTTCAATCTTCAGGCCCCTTGTTCACTTTACCTATTCTACTGCAATTGCCATGGGAACTTGTGCCTTATTACCCTCCCACCCCCTCCTGCTCTCCTCTATTAATCCCCATCTGTTATCCCACCTTGCTGATTTTCATCCAAACTGGTCCTGGACTAGCCCTGGTACAGCTCTGAATTAGAGGTACAAGTGAGCAGGTTTTTTTTGTTTGTTTTAATCAGGGAAAGAAAAACAATATAAGTCTTGGGAAGCAGTGAGAAATCACATATACAGAAGAGGCCTATGTACAAAATAGCCTAATGCAAAAGAGGTTTTGCTTTTCAGATTTACATTGGAAAGCTTTAGAAATATGTTTGAGGATGTTATAAAGAATTATCCTTTCATCCTCCCCATGTGACCCAAACTTTCATTTTGGTTTCTCAAATAGGTGATGTTCACCTTGTAATGTAAAGCACAAACTATACGGGAGAATTATGTTCTGGCTCCTTTTTATTTTTATTTAAAAATTCCCTTGATATTTAAAATCCTCTTTTCGTGTTTGCTGGTAACTAGTTATCCCCAAGGTTAAAAATGTTCATCATGCATGCCAGGGCCCTGATGTCAGCAAGAACTGTGCAAAGCATACCTCTTTCCTGCCTTTTTATCTCCCTCCTTTCTGAAAACTATTATACGAAAGTTAAGGATGTCATATATGGTACCTATGAAAGGACATAGCCCTTTTCATATAAAATAGGTCACAGGAAATCAGGTCAAACTCCAAATTCCTGGAAAAGAATCAGGACATTTGAAGAATCGGACAGGACTGAAGAGGGCTGCTCTTCTCTGCTCCAACCAATTTCTCTAGGATATTTCCACACACTGTGCAGTTTGCCCTACAGAACAATCAAGGCCTGTTTGTTAAGTCCTGCAGGTACTCGGTATTGGTACACCAGCCTGGTCCTTTATCACTCCAGTCTTTTTTATTCATCCATATCAGTAAGCAGATAAGCCATGTCCATGGTGCCTACTACCAAGTACAACATTTCTATAGAGCTCTACAGAACAAATCTCCTCTCCTTGACCTTTTACATGGGAGTTCAAGGTCAAGGTTTTCCACAACTTGGTTTAAAGTTTTCCATACTTCAGTTCGTCACGTTTCTTACCGCGCTGCCATTCAGGGCCAATGACTGCTGAAAGCAATCCCTGGCAGTTTATTTCCGTATGAAGTTTTAAAGACTCCTTTTCATAGGGATGAAGATGTGTAACTCAGAGGCAAAGGAAAAGTCTTACCTATAGAGTGAAATCCATTTTAAAAAGGGACTATTGCCGGGGCTAGTCCCTCTTCACTCCTGCAAACACACAATTTCCCTTTGAAACCAAAAACCTATTTTCTAGGCAAGAAAGAAAACTATACGCATCTAAACACTCATATGTTAGACCAATTAAAGTCAAACCTTTAGGTTGAAGAGAACCTGAAATCCCTTCCACAGATTTATCTGCATGAAGACAAACATCAGCTCCACAGCTCCTCCCTCCCATCATCCTTTCATTAACATTTGCTCCTCCCCACCCCCAATAATTCCTCTGAGTGACAGTTTACAGTTTGGTATAATATCACTTCAGGACATGTCAAACATCTCATACTTGCTAGATAGACCTCCTGACCCTAACATCTCTCTCTTCTCTGCTTCTTTCCATTGTCCTACTTCAGGGTCTCGTCATCCTTCATCCAAATCACTACCATCAGCCCCTTTCCTGACCTCACAGACTTTGATCTCCCTCCTTTCTAACCAAACCTCACCACACAAAGATGTCTAAGACACAGGCTTGATCAGGTCTATCCCTGCCCTCCAGCAGCTCCCCATCACGGACAGAATACCTTCTCTGCCTTGGCCTCTCATTTTTCAGCAAATCAACAATGTGAACCTTATCTGCTCTTTTCCCTTCCTTTCCTGCCACCTTCCCACCAGTCATGTAAAAACAGGCAGAAAATCCTAACCATTGCCAGAACTTTCATACCATGGCCTTTCTTACCTCTGGGGTTTGCTCATGCCCCTTCTCCCTGGAAATCTCTCCCCTGCTTTTTCTATCGAAGGTCTACACTTCATTTAAAGCTAAACTCAAAGGATACCATCCCATGAAAGCCTGCCTCTGCAGTGGCCACATGTTCTCAACCCTGTTTACCAATTGTGCTTTTCATAACCCAATTTTATCACTTCAAACACAGCACTGTACTTCTTCCTTGACTTTATACTTCACTGTACAGGAATGTCTTTTCTGGGCAGGAGCTATGTTAATCATGCTATTCCCAGAGCATGAAATAAGGCCTGATGCATACCAGGATCCTTAATTATTTGTTGAATAAATAAAAATTATTGTGGCATCCAAAAACACTACAGTTAGAAGCATGTGAATAAGAGTCCTAAAGTATTTCCCATAAAGAGAAATGTTAATGAATATCTCAGGGAATGTAGATGGTTCTCTAAACACGGAAACTGTAAAACACTGAATTCAATAATGACCTTTGTTCTTTTTGTGTTTAAAACTGTTACCTTTGTTCTTTCCTGTACATTATACAAGATGAGCTATTTGAGTACAGAGACCTGAAATATCTCGTTCAGACTAATGTCACAGATGCTCTAATGTCATTTTCGTATAAGGAGACCAGCCAGGGAAATGTTTCTCTGTACTTCACTTCCCAAGCTCACACCTTTCTTCCAGGAATGGTAGGTATTTCTATAGATATCCTCTTAACCAGGTTCTAAGCTCTTTGAGGTGAGGAGGGCTTAGTCACCTGTGCTCCTGGAAAAGTGCATTGCACACAGCAGTTAACCAATAAACGCCTGAAGAGAAACACCTAGCTCAGGAAACACAGAGAGATTTAAAAGTGAAAACTTTTGAAGGTGGTGTTTTTCATTCTAAACTACCATGTTTCCCCGAAAATAAGACATCCTCTGAAAATAAGACCTACTTATAGGTTTCCTTCTGAAATATAAGGCCTCCCCCGAAAATAAGGCCCCCCTAGGCTAAACATGAGAGATTTGGTCCACTGATTCTGAAAGAAATGGAGTCACAAGAAATTCACCAGGAAATTCAGGAATTGGATTGTTATGATGATATTCCAGAAGATGATGACATGATTGTCATTGAATAAATGAGTAAATTCTTGATACTGTAGGATTCACAGTTTGTCTGGTTTGTGTTGACAACTACCATACTACCGTACTGTATACAGGTAATAAATTTCCTTTATTTTCTTTTTTTTTGTTAAATATATTTTATTGATTTTTTACAGAGAGGAGGAGAGAGGGATAGTTAGAAACATCGATGAGAGAGAATCATCGATCAGCTGCCTCTTGCACACCCCTACTGGGGATGTGCCTGCAACCAAGGTACATGCCCTTGACCAGAATCAAACCCAGGACCCTTCAGTCCGCAGGCTGACGCTCTATCCACTGAGCCAAACCGGTTTTGGCAAATTTCCTTTAGTTTCATTTAACAATAAATGTGTACCGCATTCTTCTTCATGGAAAAATAAGACAACTCCTGAAAATAAGACCTAGTGCATCTTTGGGAGCAAAAATTAATATAAGACACTGTCTTATTTTTGGGGAAACAGGGTAAAATGCTTTACTTTGCAAAACCAACTTAGTATAAAGCACTTTATGGCAAGCATGCATTGGTCAATGTAGCTGAGTATAAAAACGAGGGGCTGACCACCCCATGCAGGTGAGGTTGCAGAATTCTCTGCCCATGAAGCTAGCACTATAAGTTGCTTTACTCGGTGGTGTTATGCAGGCACTGCTTTTATTTTATTTTATTTTATTTTACTTTATTTTATTTTATTGATTTTCAGAGAGAGAGGATGGGAGAGAAAGAGAAACATGAATGCAAGAGAGAAACATCTATCAGCTGCCTCCTACATGCCCCCTACCAGGGATCAAACCTGCAACCTGGGCATATGCCCTGACCAGAAATTGAACCCGCAACCTTTCAGTGCGTAGGATGGCGCCCTGCCAACTGAGCCACACAGGCCAGGGCAGGTGGGCACTATTCATATCTTCTGAAAGGTCTCCCAACAGGTAGCTTCCACCTGAGAGATTGTGAATAGAACGCAGTAAGGGAGATTGGGATTGAATTCTTTGAACAAAGTTACCGGTTAGTGCGAGGACTGAACTCCAAGATTGTGGTTTCATTAGCTTAGCAATGCTGTTTTCACGTGTGAAGTTTCAGATAGCAATAGACAGAAATTACCACAGACAAATGAATTCGAAAAGAAGGTTAAAATCAAGAAGAGATGTGGAGACATCCAGAAACACCTAAAAAGGCTAAAACAATCAGTCCCCAGAAAGGAGATTACCTACAGCTGTGGTAGGCAAACTGCGGCTCAGGAGCCACATGCGGCTCTTTGGCCCCTTGAGTGTGGCTCTTCCACAAAACACCACGGCCTGGGCGAGTCTATTTTTGAAGAAGTGGCGTTAGAAGTTTAAGTTTAAAAAATTTGGCTCTCAAAAGAAATTTCAATCGTTGTACTGTTGATATTTGGCACTGTTGACTAATTAATGAGTTTGCCGACCACTGAGCTAGGGTTTAGAGCTGCTTCTGGCAAATCTCATAATTAACTAACAGGGTGAGGAATTTGTGAAGAGGAGCCTCCTCAGGTGGAGCCCTGAATCAGAAAACTGAGTGGGAAATGGAGAAAGCAGGGACCAAGGGTGCTTCAAAAGTTTAGTTAGCTCCTATCTGTGTATCTGCTCGGGGTGGGCCTCTGAGATAGAGGAGTACCCAGGCGGCCTCCACTGCTGCTCTCTGAAAGCATGGAAGCCAGGATCTCCAAATGGTGCGGGTGGATGAGCATCAAGGAGCCAAGGTTTGGCTCCAATGCAGCCTCTTGTTTATCTAAAGTCACTGGTTTCATTGGACTATTATGGTCCTTTAACTTTTGAGGGGCATAGGATGGGGAGGAGAGAGGTTGATAATTCAAGCAAAAGAGGTAATGGAGGCCTTAGATTTAAAACTATGAAGATGTTTGGCCACAGTGAAAGTAAACTGAAATGGCTTTTGGAAGGGATTCTGTTCTAGCGAGGTAAGAGTCTCAGGTGTGTTTTGGGGGAAGAAGCCAGCGGAAATGAAGAGATTAGAGGAATGAACTGAATACTTCTGAGTCTGGGGGTCCCTCCTAGGATGGTGAGTGGTAGAAATCTTAGCAGAGAGAACGCTCATCTGTAAGAGGGAGCTGACTTGTCCACAGAAATCCCCTAAAGGCCCCCTTCAGCGGTTCCCAGCTAGGACTATACATCAGAACCTCTGGGAGCTTTTTAAAAAAACAACTAGCAGACTGCAGGTGCTCCCCCTAGAGATTCTGATTTAATTAACCTGGGCTGGCAACAGTATTTTAGAAGCTGCCCAATTAATTAAGTGCAACAAGAGTTGAGAACTAACCACTGGGCTAGATAAATAGAGATGAGGGTAAGGGAGAGGAAATAGATGAACTTTCTCCACTCTTTTCTCCCTCCTCCCAGAATTAGGCAGTGCTTCTGAAAGTGTCACATGTCCACAGGTGATTCCTGAGCTGGAATTTGATTTGTTGGCACATGGATGAGCCTTCTTTGCATATACACACACATATAGTTCCTTATATGCATGTTTCTTTACATACTTTACACTATATATATATATATATATATATATATATATATATATATATATATATATATGTGTGGGGGGGGGGGTGTAAATACATAACTATTTGAATAAATATTAGAAAGAAAAAAACATAACCAGCATATCAAATTTGAGAATTCACATATATTATTGCTTAAGATGAGGCCAAGGTAGGCACTGAGGTTTAGAGTGTGAATCTATTTAAGTGAACGTTCTGTAGATTCTAGTACAGTACAAGCAGCATGTGGATAGAGGGCATAAAGTTCTCAAAGAGGTAGGTGATCCTCTGGAGTTTGGGGAACATGGAATTAAAAGTAGCCCAGAACCTGCACAACCTTCCTCCCCAGATCATCACTGTTCTCCACGGGTCTCCCTCCGCACAGGGCGCCGTCGGCACAGAGCCATCCACTGCCCACGCTTCTCACATGGATGCCAGCGCCTCCTCCAAGGCATTTTCGAGGCTTCCGAAATGGGCCGGGACGCAAACCAGCCTCCCCTCGCCTCGCAGTCACGATCCCACGACTGATGTCATATAACTCACTCATCTCCTTTTCCTGATTCAAATCGGAGCTAAACTTAACTTAGCCACCTTCACACAATGGGACAGGAAACCAATGCTCACAAGGTGTCCCAGGCCCAGCAGCACAAAAGGGAAACCGAAGCGACCCAAATCCAGGTTATGCAAACTCAGAAGGAGAGGGGAGAGGGGGGAGCTAGGAAAAAAAGCCCAATCCGAGCAAACAAAACTAGCCCGGGAGAGAGGCGCTGGCATTTCACTCTATTTGCAGTTCTCCGGGCATGATGCAACCCTAGGTTGCCCAATTTATGTTAGCAAAGTTTCCCCTGGTCTACA